ATCAAAGAATTAAAAATAAATGAGCTTACATGCGTCCCAAGCTTTCATCCGGACTGATTTGTAAGACATCCGGCGATAATGCACGTCCGTGAGGCAGATACGACTGTCATCAATGACTTGCAGTGGACGGACAATACTGGTGTCCCTTATCGAGTGCCTAGATTCACTTACGATTGGGTGGCGATCGTAACCCGCTGTGAGGTTGGGCGGTAGGTTACGTAAGATCCCTAAGATACCAGTAATCCCAGGAACGTGGAGGTTTTTTTAGGAGTGAAGCCTCAACTCGGAGAAGCGGCGAAATGTGTGCAAAAAAAAACTAAAAACGAAGTGAATTTCCGCCAAATTATTTCTTCTAGTCTTGTATATATAGCAACGGAATTAGAATAAACAAAAAACAACTCTCACTAGATAAAACGAATTTGAATAACAAAAACCACAAAAATCAACTTTGGGTATTATTTAGGAGGTTTGGCAGATTTGCTTAATTTATTTGACCCAATTGTGAAAAAACTCGCGGTATGTCGACATTTGAATGTAGTAGATAACACGCAGAAGGTTACTTCTCGTGGCTACCGGACCAAGCCAAGCTAGATAGTTTAGGTCCAGGGAGCTTGCGTAATCACTCCTATCTTTCCTTAACCCTAGCCGTAACCCAAACTTTATATTTAACTTAAATCTCAACCTTATTGCTTAACGAAATCTTTCCCCTTATCCCAACTCGAACCATAACCAAAACCTTAACCCAAACACTCACATTCCTCCTGAACCTAATTTCTCCGGGATTTGGAGCATTGCGGGTGGTTTCTCGGCCTGTGTAGGTGGTCATAAAAGTCCTAATTACTGACCTACCCCTGGTAGACTGGTTGTCCGTTAGCTTGGCTGTTGACTACTCGGCGGATACTGGAATGGGCTTCATCGAATAAGCAGTTGCGGACTAGCAGCGACAATGGTACAAGGGCGCAGAGGACTACTGCCTGATAGCGCTGTGACATAGTGACCACTTAATAAGTTGGTTTGTCACCGCTGCGTTGTGGTTAGCGTATAGAATAGATGACCTCGAAAGAAAAACAATCTGAGCTGCTGTTGGGAACTCGCCGGTACTCAAAACTCCCTTAGAAACGCAATGAGATATTTGAATATTATTATTATTATTAGTCCTTCGTCATCCATGGAAACGGTCAGGTTTCAAAATTCTGGTCCAGCGTGAGTTGGACTACTCGATCAGAGACGGGCTCATTGTGGCGGATGGTAGAATTTTCTAACATTCCTGTGCCCTAGTGCCCAAAGAGTGACGGAGCGCAGTCTTTACCAGCACGATGTGGATGCCTGCTGATGTCTGAATGTAGGAACTCATGAAACAGTGACTTCGGGGCTGCAATCCAACTCTACATGCCCACAAAACTCTTCTCTAAGTATCAGGTGGTGAGCACCTCTTCGGAACAAATCAAACTTGTATGGCAACCAGTCACTGGCTTGCTCACGATGACAAAGTAATTTCACAAACATCTTATCGTCTCTGTCTACGCACTAACATTAGCTTCCGATGGGCGCGATGAATGAACCGTTTATTCGAGACTGCATGCATCGGATAAAAGCATTTCAGAAGAAGAAGAAGCGATCACTGGAACTCGCATATTCAATTCTATTGGCAATAAAAACTTTTCCTTGCCCTGATATTCTGACAGTTCGTGAGGAATGGAATGACAGGAGTGGATCCGGGGACTCTTGAAAGAACCATCTTATTGGCTGGTTTGAACTTGGCTCTCGTTGCAGCGTAGTGAGAGAAGGTTGAACAGCTAAGTACCAACACGTGCTTCAAGTATCGGTACAAAACGTCTGCTGACCTTATCTTCAAACGACGTCCACATAGCCAGTTATATCGGCTAAGTTAGTGTTTACAAGATTACGCAGCTAGCCTCCTGATTGCCGATCGATGCATGACGCAGAAGGTGATAATGCCCGTTGGTCGTATCATGTTCTCGTTCGAACCCATGGCAAAACTATCACATGTAGGGGGCATTCATGTCATATAAATTCAACAACCCAACATCACCGAGGCTCACAGCGCAGAAGTCTGGTCTCCTTTTATGATCCGAGCTGGCAGAGAACTCAGCGGCCAGTAGTCATCAGTAAAGTCATTAATCTAGGATTCGGTCAATACCACCGAAGTAATTTATCCGAAAACGTATTTTGTGGTTTTTGCTCAGACGACTCGAACCAGGTCTAGCAGAGACTACGCCTTTCACAAATCCCTGAAATATGTTGATAAAGCTAACTAAGGATGCTTGATAGCAGCATGGAGCTGCATTAGTGACCTCAATGGAGCAGGCCTCAAACATTGAGGACACGCAAAAAGTCTACGCAATGCTCCGTCTAGTTAGTGGAAGACTCCCTGCAGTGGGTGACTGTGTGCACGATGTTATTGGCAGCTTTAGGGCTGACGAACCGTCCAAGGTCATGCGAGGATGTGAGCACTTTGAGCACCGTCTTAACTTTGAGGCTCAACTCTGCACACCCTCGCTCTCCTCAGCTCTGGAGCTTCACAACAGCGAGACGCCGCGAGAGGACGGTATTCGTCCTAAAATGCACAAGTGTTTTTTACACACTCTGGTGCCCTGGCTCCACAACGTGATTGAGCAGGTGTGAGGAGATTAGGTCACCTATGATGACTGGAGCTCGGGTTTCATGTGCCTGTCTTCACGAAGGACGATGAGACGAAGTGCGAGAACTAACATGACATAAGCTTCATCGACGTTGTTTCGAAAGTGTTGTTGCTGCTTTTCTCAGAGTGTGCGTGATTCTAGGTCGAAACCGAGATAAGCCGGGTTCTGAACCGAAAATGGATGCGTTGACCAAGTGTTTATATTGCGGTGCATTTATCAGAATGGGTTAAGTTAACAAATAAAAACCTTTCCACTATGATGTTCAGGCCCGGTTTCTTGTGGGATGAGAGGAAGTGGGACTCCAGGTGGCAGGAATAGTTTATTCTGCACAGAAGGAGTCGAGAATAAGTAGGAGGACGTTGGCTGTCGGACGAACCTACGTCTGTCCACGTATGAAGTGCTGAGTGTGGGAGTCGTCGGAAGTGCCTCCAGTAAGGTAATTTGTAAGTCAGCCTCGGAGAGATGATTGGCCAGATAGGATTGACGTCGGCCTACAATTGCACCCGTGCTACCAGTCGCGAGAGGCGAGCGGTGTGCGTTACACGTGGACTTGGGTCACTACACATTTTTTCACTTCGCCATGGCTACCGGCAACGGAGGATTTCGCCACTGCGTTCGATTCCTTTCATTTTGGGTTCTTGTAGCAGCTGATAGAACGAGCTGGCAAGCTGGCAAACATATTGTCTTTATCAAGGCTCCACCGCCGCATGAGTTCTGATCCATTCAAATCCGTCTCAGCCTTTTACTATTCGGTCTAGCATTAGACCAGGTTGCAGCCTCTCGCCCATTCTGGTCAATGTTGGCATTGGTTGGATTTTCTGAGTTGATGGGATTGTGTTTTCACATGGATGTCGGCAGATTGATACCGACTACGCTGGTGATACCATCTCGTTAT